CGTCGCGGGCGCGGCAGAACAACGGCATCTTCCACCGTCGGCAAGACATGGTGATCCATCTGCGCGATGCGTACGTGTACAGCGGCAAGCTTAGCGAGGACATGCTCAAGAACGGGCGGTCGGAGCCGGCGCAGGCGGTGTCGGGGCTGGGAGGGGGTGGATCGAACAGCGGTAAGCGGCATCGGGTGCCGCGGGTGTATGCGGACGGGATGTTTTCGGTCGACGACGACGAGGACTGCACGTTTGTGATTCGGTATCGACCGGAGCGGGTGAATACGCCTGCGGATCCGGGGGTGGCGAGTGCGGGCAAGGGCAGTGCGGAGAGGGAGGAGGCGGGCACGCCGGCGCTGGACGACAAGACGCACAAGTACGTCGCCATGCGCGCGCGCAGCCGCATGGAGCGCGACGTGTGGGTGCGCTGCATTGCGTACGAGATTGAGCGCATCGTGCGTGCGGATGCGGAGCGCGAGGCGAGGCTGCGCAACGCCGGCAGTGTGGATCATCGGCGGTGAAGCCTGCAACACGGGAGATGTCGAATGCAATTTCCTTTGAAACAAGAGTGCACAGCGTCAGGGCGCCTGCGATGTCTGTGCTTCGGTCGACGCCGGCAATGCTGGGGAACCAAGATGGACGGGATCGAATCGAGTTGCTACTAGTACAATGAGATAAACGAAACAGTAAAGAGTCAAGAGGGTTTGGTGGGGCACATCTAAGCGGCAGCCTTTGGTTTCTTGGCGCCGTACTTTGACCTGGAGGTCATTCTTCCGGCCACACCGGCGAGATCCTGAGCGCCACGGACGAGGTGGTAGCGAATACCGGGGCAGTCCTGGACCCTGCCTCCGCGGACGAGGACGACCGAGTGTTCCTGCAAGTTGTGACCCTCGCCGGGGATGTAGGCAGCGACGGAGCGGCCGTTGGAGAGCTTGACGCGCGCGACCTTGCGGATGGCCGAGTTGGGCTTCTTGGGTTTGGTGGTGAAGATCTTGCTGCACACGCCCTTGACGAACGGCTTGCTTTCGAGCGCGGGCACCTTGTTGACCGTGGGACGGTGCGGCTTTCGTGCGCCGCGCAGGTTCTGTTGCAGCGTCACCGAGAGGGGCGAAGAGGTGGAAAATGCGCGCACGGAGGTCGGCAGCCGCGAAGGCCCGGCTACTGCACTGCGCAGCAAAGATGTGACGAGGTTCCAAGTCATGTTAGCGAGTGAGGAGGGGATGGTGTGGTGTGTGGGGGAGGAGGAGGAGGAGGATGGAGAGCAGAGGCAAAGCGGCCCCAACGCCTTTTGCATTTTGGCAGCAGCGACTCGACTCGGAAAAGTGGAAGAAGCGGCGAAGGCGGTCACGTGATGTCAGTGACGGCCTAACATTGTAGAAATCTTCTGACGTGTGCTGGCAGAAGAGTGCTGGTGGACAACGCCGAGGCTTCGCAGAGAGCAACACACTGCGCTGCTGCCTTGCGATTTGGGAGGAGAGCGTGCGCGGTCAGATCAGGCCGAGTCGAGTCGAGTCGAGTCGAG